ACTGCCCCCGCGGGACAGGTGGCGGAGGAGGACTGCCCTCTCCCCGCCCTGCACACACGGGGGGCCCGGGGCTGCTCTGTCTCGGCCTCCACCCTGGGGAGCCCCTGCTGCAGGGCGCCTGCGCACCGGCCCTTACCGTCTTGGCAGTGTCCTCAAAGACTTCGCGGGCCTCCTCGAAGGAGCACATCTCCTCCATACACTCTCTTTCCAGGTTCCCTTTCTTCATCTCTTCCAAAAACGAGTTCGCCCTGCGGACCCGCCCCAGGATGCTGCTGGCGCGCTCCGGGCTGAGGAACACTGGCGACAGGCAGGGACTTGTCGCCCAGAGGGCCTCAGCAGCGGCCTGCTCTCCCCCCCGCAGGATCTGCTCACCCCTGCACTGCAAGAGGGCCCCTTCCTCGTACCTACCTCCCTCGTGACCCCATGAGTGACCAGGCCCCAGGTGCCCCCCAGCCCCCCTGCACCGCCCGCAGAGCTTCACATGGCTGCCCAAGCCGTCCCTCACCTCTCCCTGCCCTGGGGTCCTGGGGCTGCCACCTCCTGGTCCCCCCACCTGCGCCCAGCCCACCACCCTTCCAGGGCTCAGCCCCCGTTAAGGGGGGAGCTGTGGTGCCATTGTGAGCAAGGTTTTATCAAGTCCTAGGACACACACACACACGGACACACACGCACACACACAGCACTTTCAAGAAATAGTACTTACTACAACATTTCTACTTGTTTCTGTTCCATTTCACTTAAAAACCCACTGAATTGGTCTGTGACTCTCAAATGAGTCATGACCTGCCCGCTGAAATATCTTGGATCCAGGAGCCTCGGGACTTCTCCTCGCTCGGGCTGCGCTGAGGCTGGGTCGCCCACGCTCTGCCAGCTGTCCACGGAGGCCCTGAGGCCCTTTCTCACCCTGCACCCCATCTGCCTTCGTTCCTGCCCTCACAGAGGCTCTTCCTGGTGGGGACCTGCGTCCTGAGCTCTGCCCTCCCCTCTCTGCAGGCCTGGTGGCCTGCTCTCCTCTCAGAGCGCCCACTCCCCATGTGCAGAGCCAGACACTGGACCCGGCAGCCAGGCAGCTGAGCTTCCGACGCAGCTCCATCACCTGCTACTTAAAGCTGACAAAGGGGTCACTCCCTGGGTCTCAGAGTTGTGTGAGTTTGAGGCTGGGACACCCTAGGTGCTCACTAAACCTTAGCTTCACTCCCGCTTCAGATTGCTCTCGCCTTCCAAGGCGACACCGAGCTCAAACTTGTCTGCGGATACCCCATCACCCCAAAGGTCTGCCGCGCTACCGAGCACGCAGGTAGCTCCGATCTTCTTCCCCCTTCTCACTTCCCACCACCTCCTTGTCCCCCCACACCAGGTCCCTCCTGCCTGCCCCTCAGGCTCCGGCCCTCCACTCCATCCAGGGCATGAAGAGCCGCCGGGATGCCGCTCCCCTGCCCTCCCCCTCTGGCTTTGCTCTGCTTGCCCCCTTTCTGGGTCTCTTCTCTCTGGACAGCCTAGGGCCTGGAAGGTGCAGAAATGCCTCTCTGTCCAGCCTTGAACTGGGCACCCCCTTTCCTGACCAAGCCAGCCTGAGGGTGGAGGCACCAGCTTCTATCTCATTCTCTTTCTGCCACGGAAGCTCCTCTCTGCTGTGACGCCCCCGGGCCTCCCCCAGCTCGCTCTGGCCCCGCGGAGGGGGCACGTCCCTCTGTCTCTCTTGGTCTCTCCCTCTTTCTCTGTCCATGAGCTTCTGTGTGCGCCCGCCACTCCCCACCCACAAGGAGGGAGGCACGCTTGGCCCTGGGCTACCCTTGGCTGAGGCCACCAGGCCCGGCCATGTCACGGCACGGGAGGGGCACCACGCTCCCCACTGTGGAGATTTGTGGCATCACCCTGACTCCCGCCATCCATCCTCCTCCCCAGGGGCCATCTCTGCAGTGTGCGGGGCGAGGGGGCACTTACCACTGCCCCCCGGCTGCAGGAGTCCGGCCAGGGAGGCACTGAGCAGGATGAGGCACAGTGGGCCCGCCATGGTGTGGCCAAGCACAGCGCGTCCGTCCCGCTGTGACAGGTCTCTGGGGCAAGGTTCAGTCACCCTGGCTCCAGGCGGCTGGTCGTCTTTCTCTTATCACTGCCTCCTGATTGGAGCCTGGGCGGCGAGGCGGCCGGGGGGCAGGTGACTGCGCAGGGCCATGGCCGCCCTGCCCCTGCAGCCCTGGGGAGGTCCCGGTGGGCCTCGTCCTCCTCAGCTACTGCGTCTGGAGGGGCACAGGGAGTGTTAGGAGACAATAAAAGCGTCATTTCATAGTTTCCAGATGTTCTGTCTGCTCCTGTTTCGTCCTCACGAGCATGATGAGAGCCAAGGGTCGGTTCCTGTCTGTCCTCCAGGTGTAGAGCATCAGCCCACGGCCATCTGACGCACACGTGGGGCTCGAACCAGGACTGCAGGTAGCAGCGCAGCTCGGGGCCTCGGTCTCCAGGTGGTATCCGGCGGTGTGCGGAGCGCCACTGTCGCAGAGGGTCTTGTCCTGTGTTCTGCCTGCGCGTCAGGCTGGTAGCCTCCCCGAAGTCCAGAGGCTCCAGGAGGCAGGCGTGTCCCTCTGGGCCACAGGCTGCTGCACATACCTCTGGGAGGACTGCCCCTGCCCAGCGTGGCCCGTGCCACCGGCTAGACGCGTCAGCCCGAGATCGGGAGGGGCTGCGCCCAGGCCGGCCCTCCCAGCCCCGGTGCTAAGCCATGGAGGCGCCCTGGAGGTGCACACGCAGGCCGGGGCCCAGCGCCACTGACCGGGCTTTGCCTCGCACACCCTACTGGGGAGGGGCTCGCAGCGCGTCTGCTTCCTTCTTACACCAAGGCCACCGGCAGTGGAGGGGAGACCAGCCACCCCGCAGCCCAGCCACAGCCCCTTGGGGGCAGGGAAGTATAGAGGGCACACGGCCGGCTCACTGCCCGCAGAATGTGGGACGTTCACCTGCTTGGCTTTCACCCCGGGGAGGTCCCAAAACCAGGGCTGTGTCCCCTCAGGACACACGACAGCACCAGGAACAGCTCAGGTCTGTGCCAGTGGGAAGCAGCTCACCCCACGGTGGTCAGGCCAGGGAGGGAGGCATGCGGGCTGAGCGTTGGGTGCAGGGCCCCTTGTGGGGGGGGGCAGAGACAGAGACAGGGACAGAGAGGGAGAGAGACAGGGACAGAGAGAGACAGAGACAGGGACAGGGACAGAGATACTGCACCGTGCACCACAGCGCCCACCAGAGCTGACGCGTTCTGCATGCGGTGAGTGGCCACCAACGCCCATGGATGCCCAGCCTCACTGTGTCTGCTTGTTCCTGCTCTGTCCCCAGCGCCTCCAGGGGTGTCCGGCACACAGTAGGTGCTCAGCGGAGCCTGACAGACTGAAGGCGCTGGGCCAGGGCTGGTCTGCGGGGCGGTTGCCGTTAGGCGCAGAGCCCAGCCCTGCGGACAGGCTGCAGGGGTGACACAGCCTGTCTCTGGTGCGTTCAGCTTGCTGGGGGGACTGGGTCCGGGGTGAGCCCTTCCCTGTCTCCCGCCCCCCGGGGCTGGGAGAGGACACGAGAGCCACGCATGGAAGGAGGGAGGAGGCCGGCAGCCGGCCGCGTACGCGCATGCCAGGTGTGCCAGCCTTTAGGGATGGTGTTGGTGTTGCCGGGCACCCATGCTGCGGCAGTTCCCACTGATGGCTGGGGAGACCGAGGCAGAGCCAGCAACCTTGTGTGCGGCTGGGTGGGCTCCTGGGGGAGCCCTTCAGCCCATCCTCTCCTGTTCCTTCCAGGAAGAGGGGTGAGCCAGCTCCTGAATCCTGATGCGGAAACTCCCCTCAGTGTCTGCAGCCCAAGCCGCGGAGCGGAGGACCCCAGAGGCTTGCAGACCGGCTTCCCCGGCCGTGACACGACGGAGCCCTCCCAGGAGCCTCCTTTTACATGCTCAAGACCCATCCTGGCGAACGGCTCCCTTTTCGTAGACAAGGATCCACGGCTCAGAGCGGGAAAGCGGCTTGGCCAAGGGCAGTAGGCAGAGCCCGTCTGGGACAACATCGTGCCTGCCTGCCCGGTCGCTGAGTCCCGGGCCGGCGGCAGGCTGGGCAGGCGGCAAGTCTCTTGTGTCAAGGCCTGGAGGGTGGACACATCGGCCTCTGGGGGCAGAGCATGGTCTCTGTCCCAACAGCTCTGGGCTGCAGTTCTGGGCGGCGTGTCCCGATAACACCTTGACAAAACCAGGTGATGGACCCCGTGGCCGGAGCGTGTGGTCCCTGGGCCACCCTGTGCTGGACACGGCTTGACCGTTCAGCCCGGCAGGTCCTGGCGCCCAAACGCACCGGTGTTGAGCACTGCTGGTGCTCCAGGCACCACCCCCCGAGTGTGTCCCGAAAGGGGGCGAGGTGCCCGCAGGATGTCTTAGCCACCTGGCCGCGTTCGGGGGCCCATTTTTGCATCAGCTCCCCCCATGGACGGCTTGTTTCTAACTCCTCCATGGCCTATGTGACTTTAGGCTGAGCAAGCTGCACACTCACCTGAAGCATTTGATAAAAATGTCACTGGGTCCTTCCCCCGATCGCGCTTATGGGACGGGACCGAGGAACATGGGGTTATAGACCAGGGCCTTGGCAGGAAGAGAACACCCCGTTCTATAGGGTCTGGGGAACCCATCAGGGTGCCCTTGGATTCGAACACCAGCCTCCATGGAGGAAGGCTCATCACAGGGGCACTGTGAGCCCGAGAGCAAGATCAGCCCCAGGACAAGTGCCAGGGCCTCGGCGGGGTGAGCGTGGGCATGCCATGGATGGCGGGCAGCTCCTGATGTGCGCGCAGGGTGTGTGCCATTACCGTTTTATGGTAGAAGCAACATAAACAGACAGATCTGGAAGGATAGCCACCGAAGTGAATGGATGGTACTTCCAGGGTATGTGAGGGGAAGCTGATGTGCTCGTATGGGAGGGAGAGGCCACAGCGAGCGTGCACGCCTGGGCCAGCCCATGGGTGTGGGGCCCTCAGGCAGCAGTGCCTCCCTCTTGGCCAGCCGTGTCTGTCTCCATGTCTCCCAACGCCCTACCACCCCAGGAACTGCAGGGGTGTTTCCGGGTTTGAGGGAGGGACAGGCAGCAGCTTTATTTGGGGCTGGCGGTGGCCCTGGGGCTAGGGCAGTGGGGCCCGGAGGAGGCCTCTCAGGGTCGTGCTGGAGCGCATGAGCCTGCGCATCCACTCGATGTACTGGGAGACCCTGGTGTACACCCCGAAGTGGCCCTCGTTCGCACAGCCCTCCCCCCAGCTGACGATGCCAGTCAGGTACCAGGTGCCCTGGAACTTGGTGGCGTGCGGGCCCCCACTGTCCCCCTGGCAGGCGTCCTTGCTCCCGTCCAGGTAGCCGGCACAGAACATGTTCTCGGTGATGGTGGGCGAGCCCTCCCGCCTGCGTGACTTCTCCTGGCAGTCCTGGGTCATCACCCGGGGCACGTCGATGGCCATGAGCTGGACGGCCGTGGCGCCCTTGTCCAGCAGCTGGCCCCAGCCACTGACAGTTGAGAAGCGGACAGAGGCCAGCGTCCTCTCGGAGAAGGCCTTCTCGGGCAGACACAGGGGCACCACGTGGTCGGTGAAGGTCACGGGCCTGCTCAGGTGCAGCAGGGCGATGTCATGGTTCGTCTTGCGGGGAACGTACTTGTCGGGGATGATGACCCGGGTTATGTGCCTCTCCTGCTCCTCACCCTCATCCTCGTTGAGGTCATGCTCGCCTGCAGGGGACCAGCACCGCTCACGACTCGCCCCACAGCCTCCTCTTGGGGCAGACAGGCACTGAGTCCAGCCCCGGGCTGGCGGGAGCAGCACCCCCAGGCGGCCACCACTGGGCTCTGTGCAGAGTGTGACTGGGGGTGAATCTGGGGTGCTGAGGGTGCGTGAGGGGGGGCTGCCGGGCCAGGCAGCTGTGGGTGGGTGAGGAGGGGTGCCCGATTGCCCCAGTCTTGCCCACCCGCTCCCCGGGGGTGCCCAGCATCCCATAGCCCACCAGGCGGAGGGCGCGCGCCGTGGCCCATGTGACCCAGGAGGCTCTTGGCCCAAGTGAGATGGGAGGAGAGCACCACCCCCGAGACGCTCCGTGGGTGGGACAGAGTCTGGGGGACCGTGGCCACTGGGGGACCCGGGGACACTGGGGTCTGCCCGGACATGCTCATCTGGTTGTGGAAGCGGTCCTGTTCACAAACCACTCTGAGCGGGCGGAGGAACCACAAAACCTACCCAATACCACGGTCAGGTTTCTCCAGTTCTTGACTGTTTCAAAGCAGTGAGCCGCAGAGACCACCCAGGCAGTGTCGAGCAGGGTGCCTCCACACAGCAGCGCCCCGTCCACCTTCAGGACAGCCTGGACGGGCACAATACACGGAGTTCACGGCCCCGGCACGCTTCCCTGGGGACCCACCTCCCCAGCTAGCGATGGCCACGGAGAGCTCACAGACACCAGCCCGACCACGGGATGTGGCTGCTGGTGGCCCCGCGTGCCCAGCATCACCACCCAAGCTGGCCCCAGCACGCTCAGTCTGTGGAGGCTGGCCCAGGGTTGTGCTCTGGGCACGTGGGGGCAAGAGGTAGCGAGCTGAGGCGCCCAGCGCGATTCTCGGCACACAGCAAACCCTCCACACGTGCTCCCGTTTCTTCTTCCTAAAAGCAAGGAGGGTGCTGAGCAGGGCCTGAGTGAGGCTCCGGGGAGACATTTGTCCTGCGATGGTTTTGCTGCGGCTGTGGAAGGAGCCAGAGCCTCTGGCCAGCCGGCCTGCACACAGGGACGAACTGAAAGGCCAGAGGGAGGCCTGGCCGAGGGCGAGGCAGGGCCCCCCGTGTCGTGGTGAGGCGGATCCACCAGGGAGGAAAGAGACTGGACGTGGGGTCAGCGCGTCGGAGGCCTGATGTCCCGAGCGTGGACAGCAGGACCAAGGGTGCCAGGGACGTGCCGCCTCTTCCCCCGAGCCGGCAGCTGCTGGGCCCCTCGGAGGCCAGTCCTCCCGAGCAGGTGAGAACAGCTGCTTGGGGCTTGGAGACGCGCCCCTGCCTGTTGAAGGCAGGACATCAGTGCCCGAAAATCAGCCAGCCTGGCTGACTACGGCTCTGGGATGGCTGTTACGGCTGCATCTGGGCCGGAACTTCCATGGGCCCCAGTCCCCTCCCCCCCGGCAACACGGGCGAGGTGGCCCTCTCTCCTGGGGGTGGGGGTGAATGGTACTGGGGGGTCCTGTGCGCGGGTGGGAGGACGTGCTTGCCCAGACAGCCCTCCCGGGGCTCTCTGCTGTAAACACAGAAACCCACCCCCATCACGCCTCCCCTGTCTCACAGAGGCGCGGCCAACTCCGGGCCCTCTGCTGAACACTGAACACATTCGTCCCATTCAAATGTGTCTAGCTCGCATTATCCCTCTGGACACCAAAACGCGGGGTTCTGCCAAGCCGAGGAGTGGACCGTGGACCTCGCAGGCCCCACACAGGCCCGGCTACCCGTGTGAGGTGGGATGGGGCGGGGGCAGGCCGGCGGGCAGGCCCTGAGGCTCCTGAGGCAGCCGCAGAGCGGGAGGACTGGGGCTGCTTTGAACCGTGGTCAGGCCACGGGTGAGCAGGGAGCCTCCAGTGTCCCCAGTGAGGTTTTCACACGTTGAAAACTCAAGAGTTTACCTCGGGCGTCCCCACCTGAAGGGCCCCGAGGATCCCTGGCTCGGGCTCGGACACCCGAGCGCACACATCCTGCTCTTGTGAGGTGCCAATTTTGGCCCAGTGGGTCTGGGGGCCTGAGGCTCTGCATTTCCTACAGGAACCAGACCACAGGTGGCCCCACACACCTGCCCACGTGCGGGGACAGCCTCCGCCTGTAGGAGGCCATGTTGCAGCTCCAGAATCAGTGTCCGGAGGCAGGTAGTGATGGGCTTGGGCTGGGTTCAAACCTGCCTGGGCCACCTGTCCCTGGAGGCCTCGGTTCCCTCACCTGTGGAGGGCAGGGAGGCCCACAGCCGCGAGGGGACAGGGGAGGCCGGAGCTGAGCTGACATCCGGGAGGACAGAGGGGAGCAGGCAGCTGGGGCTTCACAAGGAGGAGCAAGTGCCCTGCACCAGCAGGGGAGACTTGGGGCTGGGGTCCAGCAGCTGACCGCCCCCTGTCCCTTTGGGGGCCCCGGAGCCTTACCTGCCAAGGACACTCCCCTTTGGGGCACACTTGGCCACCCACAATTCGGCCTTGGGGGTTGCTGCCATTTCTCTTCAACAGAACAGGTATTTTTCCACATGGATATTCCACTGTAGAAAGCAAGTCATTGGGCTGAGGGGGTGGGGGGTTCATGCCTGACGACGAGCTTGTGGGGGGTGGGGTCTGAGGGCTGCCCGGGCAGGGCCACCCGTGTGGGAGCTACTGGGCCTGCAAGGCCTGGGGCTCCTGCCGGAACAGAGGTCCCCCCTCTGGAAGCTGGGCTCTGGTCATTTCCCAGCGGAATGACACGCTGCCTAACTGACTGAGGAGGATGAGCATCCCTTGGACAGCGGCGCTGCCGTATGGAGGACACTCTGAGCTCTCAGTCTCCCCAGTGAGGTCCCTGGGCTGGAGGAGAGACTGTTTGGAGGTGGCCCCCTGCACAGGGACCTGCAGCGGGGCGGGCAGAGCCTTGCTCTGCTCCTCTGGGCCTGCCGCGAACAGGCAGGTGGCCCCGCACCCTCCAGGGAGCTGCTCCCAGGGCTCTGTCCTGCGCACGGCCACCGTGGCCTGTTCTTGAGTGGGCATGGGCCGGTACTAGATCCATCCACCCTTCTCGTCCCTCCCAAGATGGCTGTGGCCATGCAGCAATGGGTGGCTGCTCCTTGGGAATGAAGTAGAGCAGAGCCCTGAGGGCCCATTACCTGTGGGTACGCAGGACACCCCGTTGTCTTGGAGCGCGTACCCCTTGTGGCAGCGGCAGGAGCGCCCGGCCTCGGCGTGGTCACTGCAGTACTGCTCACAGCCTCCATTCTCATTCACACAGACCAGCAGGTCCTTCTTGTCTGAGGACAGGAAAGGGACAGACTGAGAGGGGCCCCTGCCGGTCAGGGGGAGGCCAGCCCCTGCTCTGCATGACCGTGGTGCTTAGTTGCTGCTGCAGGGACAGCCAGGTACCAGTTGGCTCTGTGCTTTCATCCAGAAGGGTGACCTGGGCTTGGGATGGTCCCACGTCTGAGCAGCTTAAGCCAGCTGGGACAAAGGACTGGCACATGGGGCCTCCGTGCCCCCCTCCCAGCAGCTGGTGGGAGCTGGGGAGGGCCATGGAAAGCAAAAAGCCCCTGGGGACAGTAAAAGTGTCCACTGAGAGGGGAGACCTGCTGGCAAGAGGCCAGGCAGATGAGCTGGTTCCACAGCCAGGCCCTCCTGCCCCCGTGAGCTGGCCAGGGCTGACCACTGGCTCGGACAGATGGAGATGAGGAACATTCCTCCTGACTCTGAAGGGCAGTGCTACAATGTGGGACACAGTGTTAGCTCACTGTGTCTGTCCAGGACCCCAGCAGGAAGGCTTGGCCTGGAAGTGAGTTCACACCAGGGCTCCTGAGGTTCACGGTCCTGGGGGACTCACACCAGGGCTCCTGAGCATCACAGTCCTGGGGAATTCACAGCAGGATTGCTGAGCATCACGGTCCTGGGGGACTCACACCAGGGCTCCTGAGCATCACGGTCCTGGGGAATTCATACCAGGGACCCTGAGCATCATGGTCCTGGGGGACTCACACCAGGGATCCTGAGCATCATGGTCCTGGGGGACCCACACCAGGGATTCTGAGCATCATGGTCCTGGGGGACTCACACCAGAGATCCTGAGCATCACAGTCCTGGGGAATTCACAGCAGGATTGCTGAGCATCATGGTCCTGGGGGACTCACACCAGGGATCCTGAGCATCATGGTCCTGGGGGACTCCCACCAGGGATCCTGAGCATCATGGTCCTGGGGGACTCACACCAGGGACCCTAAGCATCATGGTCCTGGGGAATTCACACCAGGACTGCTGAGCATCATGGTTCTGGAGGACTCACACCAGGGATCCTGAGCATCACGGTCCTGGGGAATTCACACCAGGGCTCCTGAGCATAAAAGGCCAGGCAAAGACACTGAGGCTTTCCAACCCCAGATAACTGACAGAAACCTCAACCCTTAGTTTTGCCTTTCTTCTCCCTGGCCTCTGGTTTGCTTAGAGCAGAAGGTGGTTGTGGCCCAGAAAAGCACTTTGGGTATAAGAATGTACATTTGTATGGTAAAGGGTTGAACTCACCCAAAGAGCTCCTAGGCGGTGACCTCCACACCCTGGCTGGTGAAGTTGGACACTTTTAATTTAATCTGCCTGATAAGAATGTTGTTTCCCTGGGGGCTTTGGCCCATACTGGATGGTCTAACAACGTGATTCATGGCAGGGTCTTGGGCCACACGGTGTCACCTCCACCTCCGGAGGGGCTGGAGACTAAGGTCAGCCATGTCTACATGACTGAGCCCAGTACAGTCTCTGGATAAGGAGGCTCAGTGTGCTTCCTGGGGTGGAGGTTACACTCCCTAAGTCTCGTCACACATTGTTCTTGGAGAATGGAAGGCTGTTCACGGTACTTCACTGGGAGAGGACAATGGGAAGCTCATACCTGTCCCTCTGCTGACTTTATTCGGTATCCTTCCACTGTAATAAGCTGCAATTTTGAGTATATCAGATGGTCTGAGGAACCCCTGAACTTTGCAATACTTTAATATTGAAAAGGTGAAAAAATACCTCACACTTTTGTAATAGCAGGAAGGGAAGATACAGTTTTCCTAGCTGTCTCGACTGGGAGCTGGGCAGCCATGCAGAGCCCTCACTGGGCTCTCTCCAGGTGTATCTGAATCTCTGAGCACTGGGAACTCAAGGGTTTTAGGTTTCCCGGAAGTGGATAGGGGGCGACCAAGTTTGAGAACTAGCACCTTTAGAACCAAGACTCTCATGTTGGCGGTGGAGGAGGCCGTGCCCATCAGCCTGCTGGGGGCTCTGTCTGCCAACTGTGGGATTGCTCACTTGTCTCACAGTTCCGGCCCTGGAAACCGTCGAGGCAGAAGCAGATGTAGGACTGGAACTGGTCCTCACAGGTGCCTCCATTCCGGCATGGGTTCGAGGCGCACTGGTCCCCATCTGTGGAGTGCCTCAGTGTTAGTATGCTGAGGAGAGGGGCTGGTGGGTGGGATGAAAATGGGCCATTTACCAACTCACCGGTGTAAGAAATCCAGAACTGCTTCTGAGGGAAGAAAGAGGAAGCATTGTGAGACGCGTTCACCAGAAGCAAATACATATGGTGTCCACAGACTGGACTTGGGAGCTGGGGTGCACTGTGGTGGGCTGGGGGCTTCTGACCTGGGGCCCTTTGAGGTGGGCTCCGGAAGCCAGACTTTTCCTTTGGGGATGAGGTGAGTTTTTCCAGGGGGAGGAAGTTTTTTCCTAATCCTATCCCCGCCACCCCGGATCGCTAAGGCCACCAGAGGTCACAAATTTCCCTCTCCCAATTCAGAATTCCTGAGTATCTGCCACCTCCAAGAAGTGAACTTGGGACAGGACATATGTGCTCTCTGAGCCTCTATTTCCTCCTCTGGTGATGAGGAGGAAATCCATACACATGTGTGACAGGAGGAGAAGGTGGCAATGGATGCAAAGGGCTCCAATAAAATTGATTCCTGAGGAAACTTCTGGCCAAGCAAACTGAAACCCAGGATTACTGTAAGAATAAAATAAGATGAGAACTGTGGGACATGTGTTGAAAAACCAAGTAGTGCACAAATGCAAGGAGTGACCATCCTCAATGTACCTGAAAAGGGTCATGTTAGCCTCTGCCTCAAACAGGCTTGCTTCCTGTTGAGTGTGAAGTGTGTCCCATGAGTGTGAGGTGTCCTGTGAGTGTGAGGTGTGTGTTCCGTGAGCATGAGGTGTGTGTCCTGTGTGAGGTGTGTGTCCTGTGTGAGGTGCGTGTCCTGTGAGTGTGAGGTGTCCTGTGGGTGTGAGGTGTCCTATGAGCTTGAGGTGTGTGTCCTGTGAATGTGAGGTGTGTGTCCTGTTAGCATGAGGCGTATGTCCTGTGAGTGTGAGTGTGATGTATCCTCTGTGAGGTATGTGTCCCGAGTGTGAGGTATCCTGTGTGAGGTGTATGTCCTGTGAGCGTGACGTGTGTGTCCTGTGTGAGGTGGTGTCCTGTGAGTGTGAGATGTGTGTCCCATGAGCATGAAGTGAGTGTCCCATGAGTGTGAGGTGTGTGTCCTATGAGTGTGAGGTGTGTGTCCCATGACTGTGAGGTAGCCTGTGTGCGGTGTGTGTCCTGTGAATATGAGGTGGTGTCGAGCATGAGGTATCCTGTGAGTGTGAGGTGTGTGTCCCGTGGGTGAAGTGTATGTCCCCTGTGAGGTACGTGTCTTGTAAGTGTGAGACGTCCTGTGAGGGGAAGTGTGGTTTTGTCTCCTCACAATCTGAGGGGCGCCCCCGTTGAAGGAGTTGGAAGGGGTGTGGTACAACTCGAATATTCCTCTTTCAGAAAGTGAGAAGAGCAATGAGCTCACTCTCTGCATCGGGCCTCGTGCATGTGGAGGCCGTGGTGGCTCCCTAAGTGCCTCCTCACACAAGTTTTCCTGAGGAGGCGTCCGCAGGCGGGCGCTGCTGTGAGAGGCTCGCCCAGGCCCGGCTCTCTGAGGTCGGCTCTGTCAGCGGTGCGTCCCCAAAGCACGGGCAGTTTGGGGCTCGGGGACGTTCCCTGCGAAGGCAAGGGACACGTCGAGCGTGCTGTTCACACTATATTTTCTGATGCAGAGCTGGGGCGCCCGGCGTGGCAGAGAGGGGGACGCCCCTGGGAGCGGGTGGGGCGGCTGGGGCGCTGCAGGAGCGCCGACTAACCAGAGTGAAGCTGTCCTTCAGAGCCCGGGTGACCCGGACGTCGAGGGCTGTGCCTGCTGGAGCCCCCTGTGCACACCCTGTGTGGGGAGCCTGGGCGCACGGACCCACAGGGGCCCACGGCGCGGAGGGCGCCCCCTGCAGGGCGAACTCACCGTCCTCTCGGTGTCCTGGAAGATCTCCCTGGCCTCCTCAAAGGAGCAAAGCTCCTCCCTGCACTCTCTCTCCAGGGAGCCCGGCCTCAGCTCCTCCAGGAACGAGTTGGCGCGCCTTTGCCTGTGCAAGACGCTGTGGGCTTCCTCCTGGGTGAGGAAGACTGAGAGATGGGAGTCCCATGAGCACCAACACCACCCACGTCGTGTCCCCCCGAGTCACGGGCGGCAGGGCTTCCTGGCCGGCAACAGCAGCATGGCACAAGCTTTGTGTGCGAGCGTGGGGAAGTACCTTCGTTATATTCAAACTTCACACACTCATCCCTCTGGCCCGGTCGCCTCCCTTCTAGCAATGTGTCCTAAGGACGGACTCAGAGGCGGGCACGCGGGCCTCGCCGTAAGGAGAGCCTGGCCACCGCAATCTGAGCCAGTCCGTGACGGCGACCCCTGCGCCATGAAATGCAACATTTCAGAAGACGTAATATTAAATGAAATAAGATAATAAAATCACACATACTGTCAATAAAATGTAAAAATCCACCTATATATGCAGATGTAATTTAGTGAAAGAATGTACATAAAAAATTAACTTTGGGGATTAAAATTTATTCTGTTTCAAAACGTGTACAATCAACTTCTATAATGAAAATATGTGCCCGCTGCGTCCTCGCAGCCGGGATATTGCGTGGCGAGTGGTGGGCTGACTGTGTGGGGGTCCTACCAGGGACTGGGGGGGTGGCTGGGGAGGGGCGGCTCCGGTGGAGGCGAGGCTGCTGCGGCCACACGGGAGGAGCCAGGAGAGGCCTGCCGGGCACGGTGGCGGGGAGAGGGGTCTCTCGTACCCGGGCCATCCTCCCCAGCTCTCCCTGAGCTCCAGCCCGTTCCTGTGGCTCGCTGTCCCCCTGCCCCACCAACTCGGACCCTTGCTCTGCTTGACCACAGTCTCTCCCTCTTTTTTTTTTTTTAAGATATTTATTTATTTGAGAGAGAGAAAGAGAGAGAGAGGGCACATGAGATGGGGGAGGGTCAGAGGGAGAAGCAGACTCCCCGCTGAGCCGGGACCCTGATGTGGGACTCGATCCCAGGACTCCGGGATCATGACCTGAGCCGGAGGCAGTCGCTTAACCAACTGAGCCACCCAGGCGCCCCAGCCTCTCCCTCCTGGAAGGCATGTTCCTCACCTTCCGTGGAGATGCTTACACTGACTTCCGTGCCCACCGTAAGCAAAGGCCACCCGGGACCCCTGCTTCGGAGCAGGGCAGGCTCCTCATGGGCCTTTCTTGGTGGCAGGAGGCCTGCTGACGCTGACCCCCTGACACTCCCTGTCTGGCCGCCGGGGCCTTCCTGGGTCCTCCCTCCCGGGTCCTCCTCCCCGCTCTTTGCTGCCAGCCCTTGACTTTTGATATCCTTCAGGTTTGGGTTTTCTGCTCTCAAGATGCTCTGAGCCAGCCACCCCACTTCCACTTCAGCCCTCCCTCCAACCACCAGAAGCTGCACATGTCCCCGAGCTCCAGGTCTCTAGAGGCCACCTCCCTGCGAACTGAGGGACCCGCATGCACAGCCACCCCCTGGGCCTGCTTTTCCCATCCTTGTCCCGTCTTGGCGAACGGCTCTGCCCCCTCCCAAGAGTACCTGAGCTCTCGCAGCCAGTTCTGCCCTGAGCTCTGTGCACCTGCCCCCCGACCCCAGCTCAGGGGCTTGTGTGTCCTTGGGGCCCCTCTCCAGGCCCTGGCCTGCTGCCTCCAGCCAGCCTCTCACAGTGACCCTGGTAGCTTCTTGCAGGTAGCTGTCCCCCATTTTGCTTATGAGACACAGGGTGGGTGGGTTTAGAGCTCACCCAAGGCCACTCGGGTGGGGAATGGGACCAGTTTGAACACCTTGGGTTTGAGGCTTCTTCAGGACACCCAGGCAGACATGCAGACTACGTCATCCTAAGAGAGGACCAGGTGATGGAGACGAGGTCACAGAGGTCGGTGACAACCGTACGGAGACCGAGGCTGAGGCTGGGAAAGCCCCTGGGGCCCCCGGGGCAGACTGCACCATTGGGGGTGGGCTGTGTGGCAGCATCTGGGCTGCAAGAGAGGCCGGGCAGGGTGGGAGCAAAGCCAGGACTGAGGGGCAAGAGCAAGGGGGAAACTGAGTCCCAGAGGAGAGGTGAGTGCAGCCTGGAGACCCGCGGACTCGGCTTCCGGGAAGGAAGGGCTGTGTCCGGTGGGGAGGCTTCGCAGGAGGGGACGGGGCAAGGGGGGGAGGGGCAGCTCCCAGGCCGTGAGGAGCTTAAGCTCTCTGCTTAAGGAGGAGCATAAGCCTCTCTGCTTAACAATGACAGCGTTTCGCGCGTGTGTATTCCTGGGGGACCCGCCTGGTCTGGAAGGAGGGGTTGAGGGAAACCCAAGAACTCAAGGGTGGGGGGTACTTACACCCACTGGAGGCGGGCTACCCTCTCTACCCTCGGAGGACAGCAAATGTGCACCAGACAGCCCTCGGGAACCAGGGGCAAGTCTGATAATTGTGGGGAGCCAGGGAAAGCCGGGCGGGGTGGGGGACGACCCTGGCCAGTACTGTCTTCCTGCCCCGAGGAAGGACAAAGGCAGCCCTGCCTTCCCCGGAGCGGAGGTGCTGTCCTTTGGGCACCTGCAGGAATTGGGCCGGCGCCCCGTCCCATCCCAGGCTAGCTGTTGGCGTGGCACAGTGTCTGACTGTGTCGCAACCACGGCCGCCCCTCCGGACCCATAAGTCTCCAAGGGACCGCTTATAAATCACGTCCCTCTATCTCTGTATTTCGGCCCCTCAGCACCATGGAGGTGGGGAGGTGTCTGCGGGCACAGCCGTGTCCCTACCCTGTCCCTGGCACTGGCCGACCGAGAACCAGGAGAGCAGAGCGGGAGGGGGGCATCCCACCCCGCACCCCTGAGCCGGGATCCTGGATGCAGACCACATGGGAGCCGCCAGCCGCAGCAGTGTCCACCATGAGGTGGGCTGTGGGAGGCGCGGATGTCAGCGGCCCCTCACACAGGTTTACAGGGACCCCTCCACCCTGACATACCTGCGGCTGGAGACCCCTGCAGGCCCAGAAGAAGGCAGAGGAGAGCCAGCTCACCCGCCCGGGAAACCATGGTGAGACCCGTGGCGTCACACGGTCTGTTGACATTCCAGGGTGGGGGTGGCGGGCAAAGTCCTGGCCTCCACGCAGGGTAGAGGGGTGGGGGAGGGAGGACTCGCCTCCCAAACCCGGGGGGAGGGGCGGCGCGAAATCCCTGCCAGGAAGCCCCCAGTCCCTCCAGCACAGCTGTGTCTGCGGAGTGGGGGCTCCTGCGAGGAGACGGCGGTGTTGGGACCTGTATCAGCTGCGTGCACTTCAAGTGCCGTTGGGAACCCTGAGGCCCCTGGGTCTTAGCACGGCAGCTGGACTCGGAATGGACTTGGTTGGAAAGCCATGTGCCACGGTAGTAACTCCAGGGAGAGAGAGGATCTGGGGTGTGGACGTGAGTACCCTCAAGAGGGCTGCCGCGGACACCTAGCCCGGGGGCCTGGCTTCCTGGGTGAGCCAGAGAGCCTCGTGGGGATGACCAGGAGGAGGGGCACCTGCCGTCCCGGGCCCAGGCCGCCAGCTGGGGTGACCCTCCGTCCAGGGTTGGCAGTTGTGGAGGGCTTTCTCAGGATGCCAGGCTTCCTGTCCTGACCAGGACCATCCTGGGCACCCCCCCGGCACCGTCGGTTACCCCAACCAGACAGACATGGGCGTCCAGCCTCCAGGGGGCGTGGGCGCGACCCTCTGCGAAACAGCGGAGGCCGGACGCTCTGCTCGACTCTGGTGTGGGAGCCACACGGCCCAGCTCTTTTCTGCAGAGTCCCAGCTCGACCTCCAAGTAGAAGCATTAGTCCCTAGGGGAGGACGGGTTTTGTTGATCGCTTCTGGAATTTCTTATTGTTACTTTCAGTAGTTGCTTGGGAAATTGTTCTTGGTGGGGGAGGGACTTGGCCCTTTCTGCAGGCACCGGAGCAGGGCCTTCTGGGGATTCCCCAGGACGCCACGGCCGTAGCAGCCACTCTCGAATCAGACAGACCACTGGGCATTGGGCCCCATTTCCTTCCAGCGCGGCAAGAGCTGCTTCATTCCTGAGCCTCCGTTCGTGAATCGGGCTGATGTCTCCTCTGAGATGTGGAGGTGCTGTGGGTTCCGTGCTGGTCCATGAGCAGCACCTGTGAGCCGGGCCCTCAGAGGCCGCCGCGGAGCGCCCCAGGCGTGCTCCCTCGGGCGCAGGAGCTGCCTCGTCCTAGCCCGAGCTCGGGGCCGTCCCGGACTCCTGGGGGCCCCTCCACTGGGGCCACTGGGACTACAGCACCAGGAATCTATCCTCTGCCAGCTCTGGAGGCCACAGGTGGTCCTGGAGCCAAGTGTCTGTGGCAGGGCCTTGCTCTCTCGGGAGGCTCGAGGGGGGACCTGCCTGTCCCCTCCAGCTGGCCCCTGCGTCTGCACCTTGAGGTTCCATGGGCGGCAGGCGGCTCCTCATTCGGGGGCGCCTGCAGACACCGCACTCCCAGCCCGGCCTCGGCTGGCACATGGCCTCGCCGCTGGGTTTCTGTGCCTGTCTCCTTACAGAGACGCCGTCCGTCCTTGGGTCGGGGCTCCTAGTCAGGCTCACTCATCTAACCAGCTACTGCGGCAAGGGTTCTGCTGCCGAGTGAGGCTGCGTTCCGGGCTTCTGGGCAGTGCAAACGTAGGGAAGGCTCTCAGCCCATGTCCGTGCTCCTCTTGAGTGGGACTGGGGCTGAGGCTGTTTTCAGAGCAGCAGCGTCTGGCTGCAGACTCGGGGCGACTGGCCAGGAGGTGCAGGAAAGGGATGTTCCTTCTCTGACCACCCAAAGCTGTGGGGAACAGGATTTCGTGGGCAGCACCTGCCAGGCAGCAGAGGTCTGTGTGGGTTTGGGACATGTGCTGGACGGAGCCCTCGAGTCCAGGGGTGGCGTGCGTCCTCTGGGGAGGTGGGGACAGCATAGGCTAGTGCGGGATGTGGCCTGCTGTCCATAAAGGACGGCTAAGCGCCGTCACGGAAGAGTCCTACCCCAGGCCCCCCGTTGGTGAGCGGAGGTGGAGTGGGGCAGCCCCGGGGCACGCTGGCATCAGATGGCTGGGCTCAGGGAGCAGGAGCCCCCCGCCCGGACCCTTCGCCACGGCCACACAGTCCACTGAGTGAGGCAGGCCCCAACAACAGCGCCGGGTTGGGTCTGAGCCTGGGGCCTAGGCCACGGGTCCGTGGAGGGGCTCCCGGGAGGTCAGTGTTTGCTACAGCTCTGTTCTGGTCTTTACTTCCAGCCCTTGTGCGATTTGGTTGTGCGGTGTCTTTTAGCAAATATCTGTTGCATCTGGTTTGATCCCCTCCCGACGGGTCAGCTTGGCAAGATTCCGGGGTGTGGGTGAGCGCAGCTCCGACCGGCCTCCGCGACTCCTTGCTTCCGTGGGTCACGCCTCCCTCCCCACCACCGTCCTTCTGCCCCCGGACCCTCCTGGCTCAGAAGTCATCACGTGGACTCTTGCTCCAACATGGCGATTTCACCGTTTCTTTTGTTACCTTTACACTGTGGACACAATACGCGTGTTATTCTATTTCCATCATTTTCTGACAAAATGAAGCATATGGGACATCGTCTGGGTCAAGCTCACCGCCTGCCTCATTTCTCATGGGAGCTCGAGGTGCTGCGCAGAGTACGTGAGCACAATAAACAACGCCGCGCGTGAGGAATTCTGTGCAGACAGCGAGAGGGGCTGATATTTATTCAAACTCCATCCATACAATAAAGAACTCTGATTTTTAAATTTCATTACATCAGAAAAAAAAAAAAAAAAAAAAGACCTGAAACGAAACAAGAAGCAGTGACGGGACAGGAGGTTTTAAAGTGCCTTAATGAAGACAGGCCCCCAGTGGTGGTGACGCGGCCGAGGCGGCAGGGGTGGACTCTGGACGAGCAGCGCGCGGAGTAAACTGTCAGAAGCGTCACGTTCCCACAACCAGACACCGAGGAAAGCTGCTGGGACGCACTGCAGAGGTGGGCCGGAGGGGGCCTTGCAGGTGGCGGGCAGGCGCAGCAGGCACGGCAGGCGCGGGGCTCAGGGAGGGCTGTGAAGTGACAGTTTCCAGCATCGCGGGGGCCGTGGTGCATCCCTGACATGGGACACCTATGTACACACACCCACATATGCACACGTATAAAAATATCTGCCCCCACCAGATACAGACAGTGTTTCCGAAGAACAGAATTTGTTTCTGAAACAAAAAGGTAAAACACAAGAGTTTTCTTTCTGGTTCTGCCTCGGTTTCAGTAATGAACTCCTTGCGTTTCCGAGCTCAGGGGGTTTACCGAGTGCGGGAGGCGGCGGTGGGGGCCTCCGGAGGCTGGCGCTTTCACCGAGCCCACGTGGGTACTGCTTGCTCAAAGGGCACCCTACAAAAACCGCATCTTTACTTATTCTTTAAAAACAATAAAAAATCCTAATTCAGTGAAGCTAGTTAAAAAAATCAAGTTCCATTTTTTTTTTTGTAGAAAAGAAGCTAAATATCTTAAATTATAGTTTAAATATTCTTTTGAAAATTAACCTACACAGATAAGGGACTCTCCTTGGTTTCCACTGCCTCTGTTTGTAGAAATGCTGCTGGATTTTATCGGGGGACGTGTGTTCATCCGCCTGTGGCCAGGCGGGCCTTGGCGAGGGCTTCCGTCCCCACGAGAGCCCCCATACCTCCCAGCAGTACTCCCAGCCCGGCCTCGGCTGGCACATGGCCTCGCCGCTGGGTTTCCGTGCCTGTCTCCTTACAGAGACGCCGTCCGTCCTTGGGTCGGGGCTC